TCCAACTTTGCAGTCTTAAGTGGGGATTATTTGTATTTACTGCCTCACAATTCTCCACCGTGCTTTACTGTGAATTCACCAGTGTTGCAATCTAATGTATTAATAGGGGGCTGATCAATTTGTATCATCATGTGCGGCTGCTCCAATTTCATTGCTGTGAATAACTTTCTCTACTAGGCGGGTGATTTCAAATGCAAAACTACTTGAAAGATGATATTACACATACTTGGAATGTCCTTCACAATATGATGCTACGTGTAAATTCGATCATATGGCTTCAGTCGTTTTTGAAACACAAGCACGCATTCGTAGTAGACGAAGGCGGCTCTTTACACAAGCTTGAATTCGCTTCAACCACTCTCGTCCTCTTCTTTTCATCACCTTCGTCCTTCTTTCCACCACCTCAACCTCCGCCCTCGCCTCCAACTCTACCTCTACCTCCTTCTTCACGTCCACATTCACCACCAAACTCTCTCCATTCTTATTCTCTTTCTCACCTCCATTCTTCTTTCCCTCAAACTCGACCACATTCATCTCCTCCTCCTCCTCCTCCTGCATATTTCCATCTCCATTCTTGTTTGTCTTCACTTTCACGGTCTCCCTCTTACTCTCACCCATATTCACCCGCGTCTCCGTTCCTTCCCCCACCGCCTTCCCTTCTTGCACACCCAGTATTCCATCACCTACAAACACACACACACCTATGCAATGTATGTATTCAAGCATCTCAATTGTGCGCCTACCTGTGTCTTCTTCCTCTCCAACTGACCAGTCACCTGCAAGGCACAAGCAACTCCAGTTCAATTCACTGCCCACTCACTACCACACATCTCTCCTCTCAACTCAGCATGTCGACCACAATGTAAAACACAATCACCTTTGTAAAATTCCACGATTTGCACAGGAAACGCTCCAGGTGGTCGATAAACTACAACGAACAAAAGCACAATGGGACATTCACCAGTCGCCTTGGCATTGAAGTCACACTGACGATTGACAACACGCAACGAGAGAATAGCATGCATTGGTGGAATAATACTGAGTCTTACCGAAGGATGGCATCGCAATCACGAGTGAAGACTTGGCTGTCTTCACCATCAGTCGATGACCATGAATGGGGTAGAGGCGAAACTGATTGGGGCACCACTACAACGTGTGTAAATGGACGTCCTGTACTTCTAGTCTACCCACTTCTCTCACCACATCAACATCATTCTAGTCAATACGGTAGCATGAAGCACGAAAATCTTTTATCTAACTATTTCCTTGTTTCAGTGGATGTAGTAGGTGGTTCACAATTGGCACCAAATACCACATGCGAGGTGGGCAGTAGGGATGAAAACAAAGAGACAAAAGAAGGAGAGAAAGTCGAAAAGGGCACACTTACGGAACTGATCAATTGCTTCTGGGTAACAAACAGGGCGGAAATGTTTAGCAAGTCTAACATTATTCTCCTCCTCCTCCTCTTCCTCTCTCTCCTGCTTCTTCTCCTCCTCTTCCTTTTTCTCCTGCTTCTTCTCCTCTTCCACTTTATCCTCCTCTTCCTCCTGCTTCTCCTTCTCCTCATCTACCTTCTCTGCCTCTGCACGACCAATGTCCCTAGTGTCTACAATGCCAAGCACATTCCCTTTTCCACCTCATCTCATAAAGCCGTCTGCTTTTCCTCGCCCGTGGCAGTGTGCGGCTGCTCCAATTTCATTGCTGTGAATAACTTTCTCTACTAGGCGGGTGATTTCAAATGCAAAACTACTTGAAAGATGATATTACACATACTTGGAATGTCCTTCACAATATGATGCTACGTGTAAATTCGATCATATGGCTTCAGTCGTTTTTGAAACACAAGCACGCATTCGTAGTAGACGAAGGCGGCTCTTTACACAAGCTTGAATTCGCTTCAACCACTCTCGTCCTCTTCTTTTCATCACCTTCGTCCTTCTTTCCACCACCTCAACCTCCGCCCTCGCCTCCAACTCTACCTCTACCTCCTTCTTCACGTCCACATTCACCACCAAACTCTCTCCATTCTTATTCTCTTTCTCACCTCCATTCTTCTTTCCCTCAAACTCGACCACATTCATCTCCTCCTCCTCCTCCTCCTGCATATTTCCATCTCCATTCTTGTTTGTCTTCACTTTCACGGTCTCCCTCTTACTCTCACCCATATTCACCCGCGTCTCCGTTCCTTCCCCCACCGCCTTCCCTTCTTGCACACCCAGTATTCCATCACCTACAAACACACACACACCTATGCAATGTATGTATTCAAGCATCTCAATTGTGCGCCTACCTGTGTCTTCTTCCTCTCCAACTGACCAGTCACCTGCAAGGCACAAGCAACTCCAGTTCAATTCACTGCCCACTCACTACCACACATCTCTCCTCTCAACTCAGCATGTCGACCACAATGTAAAACACAATCACCTTTGTAAAATTCCACGATTTGCACAGGAAACGCTCCAGGTGGTCGATAAACTACAACGAACAAAAGCACAATGGGACATTCACCAGTCGCCTTGGCATTGAAGTCACACTGACGATTGACAACACGCAACGAGAGAATAGCATGCATTGGTGGAATAATACTGAGTCTTACCGAAGGATGGCATCGCAATCACGAGTGAAGACTTGGCTGTCTTCACCATCAGTCGATGACCATGAATGGGGTAGAGGCGAAACTGATTGGGGCACCACTACAACGTGTGTAAATGGACGTCCTGTACTTCTAGTCTACCCACTTCTCTCACCACATCAACATCATTCTAGTCAATACGGTAGCATGAAGCACGAAAATCTTTTATCTAACTATTTCCTTGTTTCAGTGGATGTAGTAGGTGGTTCACAATTGGCACCAAATACCACATGCGAGGTGGGCAGTAGGGATGAAAACAAAGAGACAAAAGAAGGAGAGAAAGTCGAAAAGGGCACACTTACGGAACTGATCAATTGCTTCTGGGTAACAAACAGGGCGGAAATGTTTAGCAAGTCTAACATTATTCTCCTCCTCCTCCTCTTCCTCTCTCTCCTGCTTCTTCTCCTCCTCTTCCTTTTTCTCCTGCTTCTTCTCCTCTTCCACTTTATCCTCCTCTTCCTCCTGCTTCTCCTTCTCCTCATCTACCTTCTCTGCCTCTGCACGACCAATGTCCCTAGTGTCTACAATGCCAAGCACATTCCCTTTTCCACCTCATCTCATAAAGCCGTCTGCTTTTCCTCGCCCGTGGCAG